AGTTTCATAACAAAATTAGTGGCATGATTAGTAAAATAATGTTGAAAGCTGTCCAATCTTGTCTCTGGATTTCAACAATGGTCTCTTGATAAGGACTTGGGCGAAGAGAAGTTGCCCTTCCAGTAAAGTTTCAATTACTTAGTTGGAAGGATGGGATGTTTGGCAGAGAGGATAAAAGATGTACGCTCATTGTGGGAAAATTAAAGCTCCCAGACCGATTGCGGGCCACAACTCCCAGCATTCACGTTTTCCAACCTTTATTACCTTTGACAAGCGATCGTCAGAGAGAAAGTTATAATTTTTGAACTTATTGTTTTTAATAAAGCATCTTAATTCACGGACCATTTATTTCCATTTCACCGTGAAGCAAAGTCTCGAAAAACAGATTACCACTGAAAAGGAAAGATTGTTTTAAAATGTAATAAGAAGAAGCAATTTTATAAACAATCTAATCTTTTCTTAGTTTAGATTTTCAATAATTAAAAATTATTCAATTTACATACAATAATATTTAAATTCATTTAAAAAAGGAGGGAAAACTCAAAAGGTGGGGGTTGAGATAGGAAGTTGGTGTCCGAGTGGATCGAGGTCACGATGGCTCAAGTGGTAGAGCAGCGGCGTATCTAGCCGAAGATCGTGGGTTCGAATCCCGCTCGTGCCATTAACTTTTTCATCTCAACTAAAAACCTTAATTAATTGTAATAATATTTAAATTTATATAATTTATGATAGTATTTGATTACATATTTTAATTTTAACAAAACATTATTATCAAATCTGAAAAAATTGATTTTACCTCAACCAATTTCACTTTAATTGAAATATTCGTTAAAAATAATTTCTCTGTAAAAGATAAAGAATGAAAAAAAAAAGTCTTTTAAGTCATAAATTCTGTTTAAACCATTCTTGGTGTTTAGGAATAATGGGAACTAGAAAAAACTTGAAAAAATAACTGTAATCCAAATAAAGTTCGTAGACTTGAATAAAAACAATGACGAAAAATGAAAATCCAACTAAGTTTTGCAAAAATATTGTTAAATGTTTGACTTTTCAAACATTTCTTAAAGTTAAAGCTGTTTAAATTTGTATTTGTATATTGCCATATTAATTATTTCAATTAATTATTCTTTTTATCTGAGCTTTTTGGTTGAGATGAAAAATTAGTGTCAAGAGCGGGATTCGAACCCACGACCTTCGGCTCAACACGCCCTACTCTAACCACTTGAGCTATCGTGACTTCGATCCACTCGGACATCAATTCTTCATCTCAACCTACAAACTTTCGAATTTTCCCTGTTTTTGCTGTATTGTACCCAACCAACTTACATAAAAAGTATAATTAATTTAAATAATTCATATGGCCAATCATCACTACGAAATAGATATAAGGATTATTTAATTTCAATCATAGCCATACAAATACAATATCTTGTTGAAACGCCAATGTATTTTATAAATTAAGTATTTGGATATCGAGTTCATCAGAAAATTATTATTATTTAACGACAAAATTTTGAAACAAGAAGTTAATGTTTGTAAATTTATATATGTTTATTGTGGTAATTGATCAGATAACTGTCAAAATTGGTGGTTCTTTGTCATTTAATTTGTCACGTGTTGAAACGTGCCATGTTGATTATCTATGATAGAAGTAATTCAAAAGAAATGTTAACAAGGTATATTAAATAAGTTGCTGGTTGTTTGCATGTTATTTCTAAAGGAGTTGATTTTAATAATGTAATTATTCAAAATAACATAGATTTTAAAGGGCAGATATATGGCCTTGTAAAGATCCGGAGATTAGCGTCACGCGAAAGCTTTGCTTTATTACCCGAAAAAGTCGTAAAACGGTTAATCCCGAAGGATCGCGTCACGAGGAGCTGGAGCCATTCAATTTTTTCCGTTCTGCTAAGGGTCCTTTGTCCTCTCCTTTTCCGTCCGAAGGGCAGGTAATTCTGATACATTCCCGGCAGGGTTGCCAATAAGGTTTCACCCGCTTTCCGTTCCCGGCTGCCTGTTCCCGTTCCAATCCCCCAACGCCTTTGGGACGAAAGCTGTCACTCACACTTCCAGCCATTCCAGGGACCTCTCAATCCACCCTTTCGGCCTTCACCCTTAATTGGAAAGGGAGGACTTTCCCTGACTTGAGACCCCCCGTGTGGAATTATTTGCACATGGCGCAAGCTAAGAACGAATCTTACAAAAAGTAGTGCTTTTTCGTCTATAAATGCATTTAGTCAGGCTTTTAAATACAGACTGGCATTTTTTAGTGAATAACAAAATTTATATTTTTAATCTTTTACAAAGATAATGAATAAGTTCATTAGAGTCCGTGGTCCGATAATTAATTTTTATATAAGGTATTGAGATAAAAAAGTCAGCGATACGAGCGGGATTCGAACCCACGACCCTCGGCTAAATACGCCGCTGCTCTACCACTTGAGCTGTAGTGACTTTGATCCACTCCAACACTAACTTCCCATCTCAACCCCACCTTTCGAATTTTGAAAAATGGAAAAGGAGGGAAAATTCGACGCTGACTTTTTTATCTCAACCAATACCTTGTGTAAAGATTAATTAATTGAAAATAATAATGAAACTTTATTTCCATATTAATAAAAATTCACTCCGGTCTTTCAAGATTTATTGTCTCCACCTCATTCGTTTTTATAATTTCCGGTTTCGTAATAAAATCTGAAATCTAATTGGCTTTCGCTCGAATCCGTTCAGTCTGAGATGATTATTAAGGTATTTGGCCCAGGGAACGATTGATCGCGATAATATCCTTAATCCAAATGGGATTGTCATGTTCAAACAACGAGAAAAGCGGATACGGCCTGAGAAACTGTTGCGCAACTTCAAACTTCTGAAGGTGATGCTCCGCGTAATGTGGCAGCAACTGTTCCGTTATGGGCCTCATCAGCAACGCCTTGACTTTTGCCCCTCTTTCGTTGTCGTGAATTAAAACGATCCTGCTTCACTATATCGGTATCAAGGCGATTTTTGGTTATATGTGTCAGTTGGTAGTAGCTTTTGAATTGTGATTTATTATTAGCAACAACGTAAGGAAACTATAAATAAGACGAGATAAAAAGAATGGAAAGGTATGAAAAATAATGATGGGGTCAGAAGGAAAAATGGCAGTAGTGAAGAATGGTACATACATTTACAGTGGTAGATGAGAGAGATAGTGACAGATAGATAGGTAGGTATATTGAGAGATTGATAGATAGAAAGACATATATTATATATATATATATATATAGGGTTGAAGGGAGGGGGAGGGAGAAACGGAGAGAGAGAGAGAGAGAGAGAGAGAGAGAGAGAGAGAGAGAGAGAGAGAGATAGAGAGATAGAGAGAGAGAGAGAGAGAAGAGAGAGAGAAAGATATTTCTGTCAATCTATCTATCTAACCTTTTTCCTCATCATCCTCATTTTCCTTAGCTAAACAGGTGTGCTATGTATATTGAAATATTAATCTCCTTTCACGTTCCAGGAGCTGACTGGTGGTCAGGATGACGACGACGATGATGATGAACACTTGTTCCCGACGTGAAAGAGGAAAGCAGGTCAACAAGAACGACGTTCCGTTGAGAGAACTGTCACTATTTCTCTGTGTTTTTCTCGTTAATAAATGTGCGTTGGAACAAAAATAAACACACATTACAATACAGGTTAAAAACGTTTTTTCTAGTGATAATGATCTTATACGGCTTAAAGGCGTGCAACCTAATGACACAACACACAAACAATTTTTTAACAAAATCAAGTTCTAAATTTTATAGATTAATTAATTTTTCTCTAAATGAATGATTTTTTTGTTTTTAACATTAAGTAAACAATTGTTCTTCTTTTACCAATCCATAAATTCTCGTACCTAACTCAATTTTCAAGCTACTTCAGTTCAAATCTTCTATTCACTCTCTTAACTTAAGATCGTTTCCCAATGACCTATATTTGCGGCATNAGAGAGAGAGAGAGAGAGAGAGAGAGAGAGAGAGAGAGGGAGAGAGAGAGAGAGAGAGAGAGATAAATACAGATAAATAGGTAGATACTGAGAGAGAGGGAGAGGGAATGAGAGGGAGGGAGAGAGATAGATAGATAGACAGATAGATAGAGATAGAGACAGAGAGAGAGGGAAAGAGAGAGAAAGAGAGCGAAGGAGGGAGGAAGGGAGTGAGAGAGTAGGTGGGAGGGAGAGTGATATATATATATATATATATATATATATATATATATAGAGAGAGAGAGAGAGAGAGAGAGAGAGAGTGAGAGAGAGGAGAATGTTAGGGAGGGAATGAGAGAGTGGGAGGGAGGGAGAGAAAGATTGATTGATTGATATCGCTTTATTTACATAATCTCTCAAGATTTGGTCTCGAGGACCACTCTTTCATTTAGAGAAAGAGTGAGAGAGAGAGAGAGAGAGAGAGTGAGAGAGATAGAGAGAGAGAGATAGAGATAGAGATGGAGAGAGATAGAGAGAGAGTGAGTGAGAGAGAGATATAGATAGAGATAAAGATAGATAGATAGATAGATAGATAGATAGATAGATAGATAGATAGATAGAGAGAGAGAGAGAGAGAGAGAGAGAGAGAGAGAGAGAGAGAGTGAGAGAGAGAGAGTGAGAGAGAGACAGAGATAGATAGATAGAGAGAGAGAGAGAAAGAAAAACTGAGAAAGTTTGAGATTGAAATAGAGAAAGAGATGCAGTAAATGACAGAAGTGGGTAAATTAAAATCAGAAAGCCAAATTATTTACTATAAACATATGTACAGTATGTAGTACTAATAAGAAAGATATGATATAATAAAATATAATAAAAATATTATTACCATTACAGTGTTAATAACAGAGTTAATATCCAGTTTGTGTGACTTAATTAATAAATATTCTTTTTTTAAAGTTTTCCACGAAACAGATCGGCTTACGTAGCTCGGTATACGTTAAATATGTCGTAGTGAATTATTCACTTTTTGATAGTAAATTATGAAAATACTTACGGAAAGGTCTCCTCCATAGAATGGATGTATGACAAACGTCTCGTTGCCGACGTGGATGACACCCGAAACGCCGTTGCAGGTGTGGAAGGCGGCCGTGGCACCAGGATAATCCTTCACTGTACCGTGGTAATAACAGTGCTCGATTTCCTGAAACAAAGGTAAAAGGGCGTTAGTGTGTGTGAAAACGATGAAACGTCAAGAATGATAAAGAAAGCGTGTCAGGTGGAATAAAGTGTAAACACACAAGTTGTACATAATACAAGCGAAACAAATTTAGAGTTGGAAGTCGTCAGAGAGGTAACCAATATACATTACCTTGTAGGAAGAGAAACGATATTCTTTCCCCCTTTTTTCCCTGAAAATTGCTCTTGCTATTGCTGAACGTTTTGGGCAATCTAATTGAACATCACGGCGTGTTGAGAAATAATTAAATTCCGTAATATAACTCTTTTTGAATAACGGATTTTGCCGGTAAAGTTTCTTGGGTTGGTTTGTCGGATTATAGTCGCATATTGCAAGCTTGGAAAACAAAGGCAAAGTTCACGGATATTATGGATTTTCTCATAATTGCTGACGATTGTTTGGCAAATGCTGAAGACCTGATAGCGTAACGAGCGAAGTATACATTAATTACTAGGCGATTCGAAGCATGTTTAGTTTAAATCAAATTCAGGACGTAAAGTGCCAAAATTTCTTAAGAAAATGAAGCTCTTAGCTTAGGGATTTATAATAAACTAAAATATTACATTGCAGTTAGTTAACCATACAGGTACATGGTCATTATACACATTCTTAACTATATCTAGAATATTAGCTTTGAAATTGAATTTAGGCCGTTTAGCCAATTAGCCAAATTGTCTATTTTGCAATATTGCTGTTGCTTTATTTAAGGAGACATGTATAAAGTTGCAGTATATCTAGTTACCTGTCATTCCTGCTTGTATGTAAATAAAAGAGCTAAATATGTTAATGTTGTAACACCAAATATACATATATTCTTAGGAGTAGTAAAAATTAGTACGAATTGTAAAATGTAATAATAATTAATAAATAATAAAGAATAATAGAAATTAACAATTTTATTATATTTCTACATATATGATTTTTTTTTTAACTTGGACAATACCTCCAACAAATTTACTTTCTGGATTTTACCGTCACCCGTTAACAAGCACGCTATTCTATGACAAATAACGGTGCACGCTATTTCAGGTTGCGCATGCGCACTTCAATAATTTATTTTTACAGTTCATGCTATCGATATGCAAAGTTTCTCTAATATTTAAGTACATGTACAAAAATGGTAGTCAAGTGAAATCTGTTACATTATTTATGCATTTCTCTGCACGTTTAATTATGCATTTTCTATTTCAACATTTTCAAACAAATCTAGTTCCTTCCCTTTATGTAGCAATGTTGTGCGTACACTACACTACACTACCGTATGGCAGTGTTGCATGTAAATTTAAAGTGAAGTTGAGTGTTGGATCATTTAGATGATCCTTAAATTCAGAAAAATTGTTTTAGGCACCAGTTCTTTAACGCACGTTTTAATTCCCCTTCGGCGTTGTCATATATGATGTGATGTCATATATGATATTGAAATCTTTTCAAATGCTTGCTTAGTGGCCACAATTGACCATACTATTTATTCCGATTGGTTATTTTCTTATTCTTTTTTCTTTTTATCTAATGTTTTTGGTTGAGATGAAAATTTAGTGCCACGAGCGGGATTTGAACCCATGACCTCCGGCTTAACACCCCTCTGCTCTAACCAGTTGAGCTATCTGACTTCGATTCCCTCGGACACCAATTCCTCATCTCAACCTATAATTTTTCCCTCTTTGTGCCATATTTTAACTTGCCAAGTAAGTTTGTAAATCCCGCTATTTGACAAATTGTCAACGTTGTCTTTAGGTTCACTAGTTCCGTGGTCCGCTTGACCAAGTAATATCTTACAGTTAATTAAGTTTTTAGTTGAGATAAAAAAGTCAAAGGCACGAGAGGGATTCGAACCCACGATCTTCGGCTAGATACGCCGCTGCTTGCTCTACCACTTGAGCTATCGTGACTTCGACCACTCGGAATCCCGCTCGTGCCATTGACTTTTTTATCTCAACTAAAAACCTTAATTAATTGTAAGATATTACTCGGTCAAGCGAACCACGAAAGTAGTGAATTTAATAAGCTTAAAATGAAGTATACTTTCACTAAAGTTCTCCGTGGCCATTTCATTTGTCGTCGAGAAGCAAATAAAACACGACATTTGAAAAATAGCCAAAAGGAAGGAAAATACAAAAGATGGGGTTGAGATGGGAAGTTAGTGTCCGAGTGGATCGAGGTCACGATAGCTCAAGTGGTAGAGCAGCGGCGTATCTAGCCGAATATCGTGGGTTCGAATCCTGCTCGTGTCATTGCCTTTTTTATCTCAGCTAAAAACCTTAATTAATTGTTGCCTTTAGGTTTTGAAATGACTATCCTTTCCAACCAGATTGATGTATTCGCTCCATCTCAATTATTTCCATTAAGAATTTTGATATGTAAAACATATTTTAACCTATGTTAACGCCCTCTGAGAGAACCTTTGGGACGTTACGAGTTTCATATGACCTTTGTACAGCACTTCCTAATTGTTTTGTTGTTCCTTCCGCCCGGACCGGAGGGTTTTCGTATTACTTCTTTTGTGGCTTGCTCTTACGTGTTCACTGTGTGACCTATTCTCTCGGTTCTCTACCTACCTCTTTCTCTTTCTTCAAAATGTTCTCTCTATCTCTCTCTCCAAAACCACCCTCCTCGGCGAAGCAACAAAGGTAGCTGTTGAATTCGGGCCCGAAGTCCTTCATCTCCTCGACGCCTGTTTACCCCCGGAGACAGAAGAGTAAGTTATCTTATTCTTTCTTCATTCCAGTTCCTTATAATTATTTACCGGTAATTTATTTGATTCTCTTTTATTTTTCAATTTTTTTATTCTTGTTATTTTCATTCAGCACCAGCCAAAACAACCGTACATTTCACCTAGCTAAGTCACCCAATTTTTTATTTCAACATCTACGATAACCCTAATATGGAAAGGACTTTCGAAATATGTGAAAAATATTCATCGTTAAAAATGGTTTTAAAAAGAAAGAAATGTCAAAAACAATGAATGTTTTCAAAAAATGAAATAAAATAAAAGTATCGAGTTCTGTAGGAAAATTTCAATATCACCAGAACGAATCGATGAATTTTTGAGATGCTTGTATCATTTCACCAGGTCACGTTAACGCACCAACTTAATAAAATCTCTAAAAGCTCCAGCAGATTCTAAGTGAAAAATTACCTTAATTTTTCAGCGTAAAAATGAAAGGCTATGTCTTTTGTAAAAACTCACACGGTATATAAATTTGCAAGCACGTATTTCTAACTTGCAAAGATTAAATTTTTAATTTAATTGCATTTTACTGTTAGATCAATCGTTTATCATCCATATAGAACGTGAACAGCTTTCAATTTTATTTCAGGTCCTTGAATGGATTTGACCGGTCATGTTGGATATTTCGGTTGTGTTTTCATTTCATTATACTTGAAAAAACATATTTCAAAATTACGAATACATTTTTTTATTTCATGTAATATATTGTGAATGGGGTATATTTTTCCATAGCTCAATGACTAAAAGTTTTTTTTTTCTCTTTGGCTTTATCCATGCTCGTTTTTTTAATATAGAATTAGAATATGATATCGCGAGATTACAATATATAAAGATATTATTTAAAAAAATAAAATATAGAGAATGACATAACGACGTAATACGTAAAACCGTGGACCGAGAAGAATTGGGACGATCTGACTGCTATTTTTGCAGAGAATAATAAATCAATGATTTGAATAAAACACAATGTCGACATGTTTTCCAAAACTTTTTGAATAGCGAAGACATTTCATGCATTGTAAGTCGTTATAAAGTAAAGATTATCAGATAGTTTTTTATTCATTTTATAACAGAAAGTTTCTTTTTTGTTTATTTTCTGCTCGGTTACGTGTCCCTTTTTTCTTCCATAGAGTCGGACTGGAGAGAAAAAGTTTTGTTTTATTCAAAAACCGAATGATTGCGGTTTCCCTAATTCAAGGAGGGCGGCCCCCGCCGCAGCCACAGCAGGCCGTCTTTTTCCCACATTTCCCTTGCGGCCCCCCCTCCACAGACTCTTTTCGCCCATTTTCCGAACTTTTCCTTTTTCCCCCTTTTCATACAATGTTTACCGCGGGAATAATACGCGACGTGCCATCATTTGGGCATTACCAGGCTGAAATTCGGCCGGCGGGGGAAAAAAGTATAACGGCTACACTACCACTCACCAACTTGTTAACCGGCAACTGTTGCAGGACGCACTTTTTATTGCAAATGCAAACGCGGTGTTTCACATTAAAAAAAGGATGAAAAACCTATTTTTACCTACAATTTTCTTTTCACATCGAATTCAAGGGAATTGGATTGGATTGAATGTTTTTATTTGTAATAACTTCAATTAGATAACAAGTAACAATGATAAAGAGATATTCAAGAATCTCTAGCTTACTACGACACTTACTCAAAAACGAAATTAAATAGTAATCTCCATATCTTTTTGTCGAGGATCTAAAATAAGTAATAAACATTTCTTTAATACCACAGTAAATGGTAAGTGAGTATTATTTTGTGAAAACCTGTTTTGATATATTTTCGAAAAATAAATGTTTTATTTATAAAATATAACTCAAATAACCATTAGATTGGTTGCGTATTTCCGGAGCTATTTTAATCCAAAAACTGAGTATTTCATAATTTTAATATTTTATAAACAAAAATAAATATTTTGGGAGTTGAGTTTACGTTAGGAGAAGAATTAATATCTAAAAGCCAATATACAAGTTGCTTACTGTTCATTATTATCTTAATAAATGGATACAAGGTTAAATTTATTCTTTTTCTTGTATACAGGGTTTTCGGCTACTCGTGATACAAACTTTGCCAGCAGATTCTACATTCAAAATGAAACCAAAAAGTTTTAATTTACTATGGTCCGAATCTCCGCAGGTTCGGAGATATTCCACTATTTCTGATTTTTTAAGATTTCACGACCTTGCTTCAAATAAACAATGATAACTCTAAAACAAAATGGTTTTGGACA